CGTAACGCTTCTCAGTGAATTTACGCATCTGTACGTTGTAGCTCGTGCTTTAAATTTGTTAACGTTTTTCAAAAAAAAATTATATATATATATTTATATATATTAACGCGACATTTACATTTGCTTCGTTTTAAATGGTCTCTTCAAGCCTGATAATGCGTAATCGTAGTTACACTAAAACCTTGCCCTTCAGTAATGAACGCAAATCCGTAATACTCTTATGTCATACCTTAAACCCACATATGTATATTGCATTTTATATTGTGTTTGCAGGCTTGTGCAAGACAGGTGACAGAATACGTTAGCTGGCATATATAAACCTCCACGAATACAGCGATCGTTAGGGTTCGCCAGATGAAGGCATAATTTTATAAATAACCTCGTGAAAACATACATATCCCACGGCATGTCATAATTTTCACTCTGAAACAACGTTTCCTCGGTCCCGAAAGCATATGTAATTGATTGTTCACTGCTCCTCCGTGAAATGCATTATCGATCATGAACAGTGTTCAGTGTGAAGTGAACAGCACGGATAGCGGTTTCTGCCGTCCTGCACAGGAGGAGAAAGGGATGGAAGAAACGACGATGTCGTCTGTCCGGTGTTGAGTCTGTGTTGAAAAGCCCGCCCGGAGAGGAAAAGAAGGAGAGCAATGGTCCCCGTGAGTGAGCAGCGAGCAGCTGTCACCCAGCTTGTTATCAGCATAGATGTCTCTAGTGCGTCTGAGGGAGGTCTGTAATTTGAGTCATGGGTAGTCCAGGGCAGGTGGACTTGGCTTTTCAGTGAGAACTCCCATTTATCTGTCTGGCTCTTTCTCTTTCTCTCTCTCTCTCTCTCTCTCTCTCTAATCCATCTATGTATGACTGATGACCCATTTTGCGTCTGTAAACCATCCATCCATCAACATGTGTCCTTGCTACATTACCAGGAACATCCACATTCACCTGACTGCCCCTATTGATGCAGCCAGAACGCCCCACACACTCATAAACACAACCCGGACATGCTCCAGGGCACTCCACGTACATGTAAGCATAGCCAGGCACTCACTGGCAGACCAGCACGGCAGTCAGAACCTCCCCTGAAGCACCACTTTCTATTGTAAAAGTCTGTGAGACCGTTTTCCCCCTTTTCATTTGTTTAGCTTTAATTTCATCTTCAGAAGACAGTAACGAGGACAACTCTGAGGACGTGGAATTAAAAAGTGAAGGCGACACATATGAGGAACTGGGTCAAATGGTAAAAGATCCTCTCAACATTGCAGTCTGCAGACATTTATTTTTTATTAATCACATTTCTGACAATTACAGTAAGTTACTTGGCCCCTCCTGCATAAATTGGTTACTAATTGAACTCTGGAAGGGTAATCATGGGCCTTGGTAGACGCAGAATCTTCTGGGACTCTTTACCATTATTAATAGTTAGAATGGACTCATTATTTTTGACTGAAAAGATACCTGCCTGTTTCAGAAGTAAATCAATGGCTAATTGAATCAACTTTTTTTTATAATTAAGACTGTGGTTGTATTTTATAGTTTTATAAATACAAAGAAGGCTTTCAACTTAAAGATATGGGCAATATTTTTTCTCATAATAGTTTCCCCCATGCTACTGTATATTTAAAGTACGTCTTATATTTTGGCATTCCTTGTTTTTTTTTAAGGCTGTCCTTTCTCTCAGTGAAAAATTGAAAAAGTCATATGCAATATTTTCTTCTTTTTGGTTCTGTTAACATTTTAAGGGAAAAAAAGTCTTCAAAAATGTATTTGAGCATACAGATCATGCCCTCTTATGAGTTAATATATATAACCAAAGTGTACTTACCTTAGTCTGATCAATTTATGAAGGATTGAAATATCACATGATATGATCAACACTCTTTTGACTAATGGTGATGCAGATCAGGGCAGAGCATAATGAGAGAAGTGACAGATACTTTTCTGTGGTCCAGAAGGAGGACCATGAGGGTAACTCCAAAAGGGAGAGCGAGGATCGGAGTATCAGCATCGAGATCCCCGAGGTGCTGAAGAGGAAGCTGGAGGATGACTGTTACTACATCAACAAGCGTAAGAAGGTACACCAGCGCCAAGCCAGAATGTGTCGCTGCTCTTTAGAGCTTCGATTACTCACCTTGCGTTCATGGGGAGTTGAAAACGGCCAGTGGTCTGCAGTGATGGCAGTGCAGTTTTGTGTGGCTGCTCGCAGTTGGTGAAGATCCCCTGCCAGATGAACATCATAAACATCCTGGAGTCATACGTGAAGCACTTCGCCATAAACGCTGCCTTGGCAGTCAACGAGAGGTTCCGGCACCAGAGCAGCACTCAGCCCAGCCTCAGCTCACACTACGTCCCTCCCGAGAAGAAGTAGGCCACCGTCCAACTGGAGGCGAGGCGGCGAAAGCGCCATGCTACTCCATACCCCTATATCGTTATTTAAACTTCATTATACCATGGTGCTGTTGAATTCTCAAATCTGATTGGTCAGAAGGATGTTGATTCATTTTCTATAACTGTGCACGTAGTGCCTGTCAGGCAAATCACAGTATTCAGGACACGATTGAAAAGAAAAAGGAACTAAACATAAATGTTTAATCATTGTTGGAAGAAAGGAGTTCTAATAAATTCATTTTCAATTTGTAAATGTGAAAATTATATCTTTAGGTACAAATGTATGGCAACAATGGTCTAAATGGGTTAATGCTCTGCAAGCTGTGATTTATAGGTTTTCAAACTCCACTTCGCATTAGGCGGTTCTTCGCCTCTGTAGCCATGCATTTAAAATCATATAATGCACATCTTATCATGCATTGACCATTATTATTATTATTATTATCATCCATCCATCCATCCATTTTCTGAAACCGCTTAATCCCAACTGGGGTCGCGGGGGGACCGGAGCCTATCCCGGGAACAATGGGTGCAGGCAGGAACCAACCCTGGGCAGGTGCCGACACACCGCAGGGCACACGCACTTACACGCACTCGCACACAACTACAATTTAAACACGCCAATCAACCTATCCTGCACGCTTTTGGACCGTGGGAGGAGGCCGGAGCCCCCAGCGAAAACCCACGCGAACGCGGGGAGAGCATGCAAACTTATTATTATTATTATTGATGATAATGATGATGATAATAATAAATTATTAGAATCTTGTTTTCTTTTTAGATTGTGTTTCTACTGCTGTACCGTAGTTTACTTTCCCATAAAGGGATTTTACCCTCTCTATCTTTCCGTTCTCAGTGAGGAGCTTTGCAAAGAAATGGTGGACGGGCTGCGGGTCACCTTCGACTTCACCCTTCCCGTGATCCTCCTGTATCCATATGAGCATGCTCAGTTTAAGAAGGTCAGCTCGTCCAGGTTCTTTCTGCCCAGTCGGGACATCACTACGGCCAGCCTGAGCAGGTCAGTAAAGTCCCGTCGGAGAGAGACTGCGATGGCACTCTGCGGTTTATGTTTCGGGGTCTCGGTTCACACAGCCGCTACTCCTCGTCTGGTTTGTTTATAAATTAGGGGATTAAGTTTCAAGGACAGCAAGGAAGTGTTCTGAACAGAACATCTACACAGCTTCTGTAGCTCACAGCTGCAGTTCCTACATTGTTGTCCCAGGGTCAGTTTGGCTACAGTTTGGTTACAGAGGCTTAGCAATAAGATGGTAATCCCCTGTGAACTTAGATGTCTCACTAGCAGAGTGGTTCTCAACCAGGGGGCCGCAGCCCATTAGGGGGCCTCAGCAAGGATTGAGGTGAGGTGCACAATTTACTTGAAAAGCATAGAAAAAAGTATGACATTCCTATTGATATATTTTCAGAATGAGATATAGGATGACACAATACCATTTATATTGATATACATTTATTAGGCATTAAAATTAGGGCTTTACTGCAGTTTTTCACACTTGCTTTCTCAAAACAGTTAATGCATTTAGCACACTATGGTTTAGCTGCAAAAACCTGTAACCTACACAAAACAACTAACCGATGCCTCAAAAGCGAATAATTCCATCAATGAATTAGTCAGTGTTTTAACCATGAGAGTCAAAATGCTTAGATATGTCAAAATGTCAGTGTAAGTATGCTGCTGAAGCTCTACAGTTCCATTCCCACTTTCGATCATTGTTACTGACTGATCATTTTTAATTAGCAAACTGATACTACTTCAGGTCTAAGACACCAGTTTCAACATTGCAAGGCACTCGCATGCACATATGACCTGTTCAGGTCTCAACACACAGTACTGTAGTAAATCAAGTCTCACAGCACTTTATAACATAAAAACAGCAAAATGGTAATAAAACAACAACAAAAGGACAACAAAATCATGTACTGTGGGAACCAAAAACAGAGAAATGGTGTATTACTACTGCAATTTGTGAAATATATTTTTTTATAATTTTGACAGCTTTGTTAACTGTTTCGCATGGGGTGGCTAATATGATGATCGCATTCATATATAGTTTTGGGTGTAAAATTATTACAAAGGTAAACTACATAACCTGCTTTGATCAACAAAACTAAAGCAACTGAAAACTGTGCCAGATGATGGCAATTGGACAAAATCATTTGCATTAATGCACTAAATCATCTGGAAATTTCTATGACACAATGACAAATGATATTCTGCCGTGCAGAAGTGATGTTATGGTGTGGGGATTACAATTGTTGTTTTGCAAATGTTAATTGTCATTTGAAAAATGCTCCAAAGCAATTTAGAAAAACTGTAATATGGACATGATTCCACCTACAGGTCATACTGGTCATTGCCTGATTTAAAGTCAGTCACTTGGCTTTATGTTGAGAGATGGATAAAGAGGTCAGCTCATTCTAAGTCAGACTTACTCAAACAGGATAAGTTGCCCCCATGTGAATACCTGGGAATCTTCCTGGTTTCTCTTTCTCTCGTTGTACCGAAGGACATTGCGAGACTGTTCCCCCAGCTCCCCCAGCCCCCACACGTCCCCAGAAAGCCGCCCCCCTCTCAACCAGACCCCAACAGCGAAGCGTCGCCGTGCCGACCCAGATGTGTTGCAGTCCTTACGGCGTTCAGCGCGTCACCACGCACCGGGGGGGGACCGGGTGTCCGACAGCGGAGCCTCCCCACAGCCAAAAGCCAGGGCTCTCCTAGGCCTGGACAAGAGTATGCACTCGGCACCACCCATCCATCCATCCATCCATCCATCCATCAACTATAGCAACTTTTTCAAATGATCCAATTCCACCTTTTATTTCCATGTCTACCTTGGGTAATTTATTAACAGACCTGTGATCCCACATTTATAATAGTTTAAATTACTCTTCATTGAGTTTTTCCAGTAGTTTTCCCTGTGGTCTGTGTGATTTGTGGCATGGGTAGTATGTGCTTAACTCTCCCAGTTCCTTTGGCTTAGATCCTGTTTATAGTCTGAGCTGCTGTGCTTCACACATGGTAGGGATTACAAGTAAATACCAAACTAAACGACCCCCAGATAAATCTCTGTACGCTAACGGAATGCTATGCTCTGGAGATACATTTGTTCAGTGCGTGACTGCCATGTTGTATTCCCCCAGAAGTCCCTGCCCATAGCGGCTCATCCTCTCCTGTAACAGCGCCCCCTAGGAAAGAGGGCAGCTGCGTGTTCGGTGGCTTGGAGGGTCGAGGGAACAGCGGCCTAAATGAGGTGTGATCTAAATGCCGGGTTCTGTCTATTACAAAGTCCAGTAAGCTTTACTTTGTTGAGCTTTTGTGTTAAAGGTACGGTACCCATAATTTCTCTGTGTCAACACATGAGCAGCTTCATGTTTCCACCCCATTGTGACTCCCGCAGGTCCTGAGCTGGAGGCTGACCCCCGATGACTACCCCAATAGGGACCGCCCCCCTCCCCCATCCTGCATGTACGGATCCCAGCATCTGCTTCGCCTCTTCGGTGAGCCGGCCTTTCCGTGAGAAATGGACCCAGTGTCCCCTCCAGCCACAGTTTTGGGAAGCATGCACGCTAAACTTTGCTCTCATTTTGTGCTTTAAAAATGATGGGAATTGTGCCATTTTTCCTTTCTGTAGGCCCAAAGTCGTCATCCGTCTTAGCATAACCAATGATACAAATCAGGTACTCAATTGAAAACATCTAAAGGTGCTTTGTTTATGTGGTGCAGTGAAGCTCCCAGAGATCTTGGGTAAGATGCACATTCCTGACAAGAACCTGAGGGCCCTGGTGAAGCATCTAGAGCTGTTCCTCAGGTACCTTCCTGTTCCTGCTTGCCATGACGTCCATTTGACCCTCCATTCACGTCTGCACACCCCATCCCCCCAAATCACCAAGGAAACAAAGGGTCTACCAGCTAAAATCTCATGGATGATTAGGTTTAATTGAAATATACTATTATTATTGGTATTGAGTTTATGAGACAAGATGCACAGTTAAACAGGGATTTTCAAATTCCACAAATGTCTATTTTCTATATAGTTTGCCTCCTTCTGTTTTATCTCAGTTTATAAAAAATAGGAAGATTGGGGCCAGGGTTATGCAAGCACTGTTATGAGAACTAATCTTTAAATCCCGTTCAGTGATCCACAGTTGGCATTATGTCCTGATTTTTTTTTTGCACAAAGTGTACTTTCCATCCAAAGCCACTAGTGGGCACTGAAGCACCATGATGCCTCAGTTATGCTTTCCCTGTATGTTCTCTAAATCCCTCCCCCATCCTTCAGCATCTCCCAGCGAGACATTTGCTGCTTCCAGGGGCGATTGCTGGGTGAAGCTGATTGGATGAGCGCTCTGTACTGAGTACATATCGTTATGAAGGGGTGATCTGGGTTAATCTCATCTCAGGACCGCCTGCTTGTCTGTCTGCATGTCCTTATGCATGCATGAGTGACAAAGGCTTTTAACCCACCTCACCATAACTCTGAAATTAACAGGTAAATCAGTTATCTGTAGTAGTGTGTAACAGAGAGGTTCCTTAAAGTCCCTTCCTGTGGGTTCTGCCAGCCTGAAACGTTGCTTTGTTGCTCTGTTTTAAGCGTCCTTGGAGCAATCTGCTGCATTCAACAGCACGGCGATGGTACAATCGTCACTGCTGTGGTTAAGAGAATAATTATCTGTGTACAATTAAGAGCTAGAGAGTTTAGATGAGATGTAAAGATTTGGAAATGGTGAATACTAAGATGTGAGCAATTGTACAAAAATTGTACAGTAGTAAATAATAATCAAATAATAAGGTGCGTAGTACACAGTGATTTGCAAGTTCTTGCAAAAGATTGAAGTACAAAAAAAATGTAGTGTGCACATGTACCTGTGCGTATACACTCTTGCATATGTACCAAAGGTAAGCTTAAAGTGAGCGTAGTTCTAAGGTCAGAGAAATAACAGAGTTTATGGTAGGGATGTGCAAAATGTTCCGTGATTAGTATTTCAGCAGTTCAGTAGCCTGCTGGCTTGCAGGTAGAAACTGTCCCTGAACATGCTGGTGCAGGTCTGGATGCTCCTGTGCTGCCTGCCTGACAGCAGACGCGTGAGGAATCTGTGGCTGGGGTGGCTTCCCTCATCCCTGTGGAAAGAATCAGCCAGATCATCAGCGTATCCCCCAGGGGATTGGACTAATGTCAGACTGGCCTCTCCCCATCCCCCCATCCTGTATGCCTCAGAATGTTAAAGAGCAGACAGATTTGTACCAGAACAGAAAGAATCCATTAGTAATCGATCAATCACATGTACACTTACTTTTATACATATGCAGTGTTCAAAGACTGGGGATGGTAGATGGTACCTGAATGTGATATGGAATATAATGGAATATTCATATATAAACAGGATTCCCAGTGGCCAGTAGGGAATCTGGGGGAATACTTCTGTTGCCACTGATGGCCGCCGTGTTATGTTCTTACTATAAGGGAGGAGTGAGGCTTCAGGGTCACAGAGCCCTGTCAGGTACTGTCTGATCTCACCAAGCTGACCTAGCTTCCAGCTTGAAGACCTAAGCTGTGTTCTGTCTTATAAAATGTAGATGCTTACAGCTTTCCCACAACAGTCAAAGAAGATTTTTCCCCACCCTGCCATGAATCTACATGATTGTCTTGTGTCGTCTCTCTTGTGCTGTGGAATAGTACTTCATTAAGCTTGCAGCTTTTTCGGAATTTGCAGTGGATGCCTGGGTTTATGTGCGTGTATAGAATTAGCTATTTAGCTGCTACGTGCTTGAATATATTGAAATTGAACATGAACATTTAAATTTGTAGGGTACCCTTTCATTTTGTACCGCTTAAAGGGGGATTTTAAAATGTGCCTTAAGATAATTATAGAGCAAAGGAAACGGGACACGTGACTCTATTGTTGACCTTTGCTTGCTTGTCTGCCATCGCAGGTTTCTAGCAGAGTTCCATGAGGACTTCTTCCCTGAGTCTGCGTATGTGTCCATCTCCGAGGCACACTACAGTATGAAGCATCCACGGGCCTCCTATTGACGCTTCACTACAATCAGCTCCTGTGTCCTGCATCCCTCTCCCACTACCTGAGCCCTTCGGTTTTTCCGGCCAGGATTGATTGACTCGCATGTGTCCCAGGGTCATGATGGTGAAGAACACAGCCAGTTTCCTGGTTGTAGATATTCCATGTCCTCCTCCCAGCAGGGGTTGCTTGGTTCCTCATGTGTTCTTGTGGCTCTTCTGAGTTCTCTCGTTTATGATTTATAGTAATAAGACAAACAGTTACATTTTACATCTGTATTGCATTATAGATACCTTATAATGCTCGGTATAAGAATTAATAAAGCATTATAGCATCTTCTATTGACAGTCATAAGGCGTAATGTTTATTATAATACTTCATACAGTATGGTCGAATGAAGTTCGAAGCTGTAATGCACTAGAAATACCTTAATAATGCATTATAATGGTCGGTATAAGAATTAAGGATGTTTTGTAGGGCTGCCAGAATTGGTCGATGTAGTTGATGATGTCGACATTGAAAATGCATCGACATCAATATTTTAAATCAACACATTCATTATTTTAATGAAATTACTTTTATGGTATCTAAAATGCTTCAGTTCATTATAATATGTTTTCCTTCAATATCACTATGTAATTATGGGAATAGTTCAAATTATCACAAAACAAAAATGAGGTTTTACACTGTGCAAAGTTTCAAAAGCAACTATGCGCTATGCACGAGCACCTGAAAAGAAAATAGGCGCATTTCTGGATGACGAGCCACCATAATAGGCAAAGTCGCCATAAATTGTCTATTCATGTTTATTAAATTACTCTCAGCACAGAGAGCATTTTAATATCTTCTCTTGTTGGAGCTGCTAAATACACTCATTATTAAAGCCACGAAGTTGCCTGCCTGCAACTGTTTGAGAAAATGTTTAGGGTAAAATCTGAGCTTATTCTACACTGATTGACAGTGCCAGTGTTTGTTGGGCTTGCGGGACCAGTGTTGTTATCGTGAATTAAAACTGGAACAAAAATGGACGCTAAATAAAAGAAAATAATTGTGAACTGGAATAAAAATGAAAACTATATTTACCAAAAAAAAAAACATGCCGGACATTAATCTGCAAATTACCGCCATACCACCGATGGCTTTCTTAACTTGTTTATCTACAGTATCTCCTCTTTTAAAAGATGTTGTGGCTGTTAAGCTGTCCCTTTCTTCACCTAGACTTCAGTGCTTATTGCTTGCGTGATATACCAGAACGTACAGTAGCACGTGGCGTGCTCCGATAACCGAATTTTTGGGCATCACAGTATGCTTCTTATCAATATTTTATGCATGCTATTAATCTGCTTATCGAACTATGGATGAATATAATGTTCGTACAGTATAGTGCCAAAATGCCGGTGTCCATTATCTAAAGCCCTGCAATGATAAACAGTTTGTTGTTGTCAAAATAAATTTAAATTAAACAGTCAATGTGATTTTCTGAAGGAAAATTGATCATTTAAATTTATCGAACAATTGGTAAAATAGTTGATAGATTAATCCATAGAAAAATAGTCGCAGCACTAATACTTTGTATTGCATTATTAGGTATTTATATTGTGTTATAGATGAGAGCTTCATAAAGCATTCATAATGCATAATAAACATGGCTATAATGTATTATACATTTTTATATAATATTTATAGCCATGTTTCTAATGCTTTATGAATGTATTATAATGAGTCTTACAGACATGGCATTTATAGAAAGTGTTACCTAGCAAACGACTTCTGGGTGCTGTATCCTGTTGTATATTAGCTTCAGTTTCTCTCTTGGGTTTCAGATGAGCTTCATTAAATATGTGTGGAATGATTTCATGTCAGTGGCATGGTTTTCACTGCAGGCCTCTTCTGTTCAACCCCATTTCCCATGGCTTGCGTTTTATTGTGATGATCTATTTGACTCACAATTCAGTGTTCACCATTTCATGACCAGTTAAGATAAGGTTTTTGCGATACTTTGATTAGCTAAATAATAAATTGGTTGTGGATATTGTCGGTCGTACACAATACACCGTTCCAATAACTTGAATGCAGCGGCAAGCAAAACATATACTGCAACAAATATGCTCTTAAGTACAGTCCCAGTTAAGCACTCAGACCGATTTGCTGTTAAGTGGCTCCAATTTGATAATTTTACAGAGATTTTATAACAGTTAATTCCATTACTTCCTGTAAAAAGCCTTGATAAGGGCATCATTTTTAGTTATGTGCAATTTGGTTCTTAAAATAAATTTAATGAATGCTGTTTACCCATTTCATTTTGTTTACCGCTCTCATTTCTTAATAACTTAAAAAAAAATTAAACGATCATATCATGCCATGAAATTCCTCAGTCTTGATCATTTGTAATATTATATTTATCTAGCTGATGTTAACTTTCAACATTAAACTAAATGAGTACACAGATCAGAGACATCAGAGACAGTCATCGATATATAGACTAAGATGACACGTAGCAATCTAGGAAGTTTTATGTCGACCTTGTCAGGAGGGTAATGAGCTCATACTTATTGTCCCATCAAAAATTGTCCTTGATCCATGGGAGGCTTTGACTGAATGGATCTCCAATTGGGAAGTAACCTTCTGTAATCATGTTTCCTTATAGTATCATTAAATAAAGGGGCCATTTATGGGACTTGCCATTTCCTTGCTCCTTAACCACAAATTGCTACTTACTTTGTAAACATACATAATTTCCGGAATAATAATATGCTTAAAGGACAGACTTCGTGTAGTAATAATTTTGTGTTGATTGCATCACCCTTATTAATGGTCCAAGTAAACAAAGAAAGTCTGCAGACAGTAAAAAGAAAATGCATGCAGAACTGATGTCCTGCCTGGAGACTAGCAGAAGAGGCCTTTTTAGACGTATATCTGAGTAAGAGTTACTCCCATGATTAGACCTATAGGCTGGTGGTGTTGTTGGTTTGCTATGATTGATGTTCCATTACATTATCTGAAGGAGAGTTGCACTACAGCTTAGCCATGCCACATGCTGCCCATGTATCTCCAGGAGGTCAAGGTGCACTATTACCTTTCACTCGTTACTGTGTAAAATAGCCTTTAGAAGGTGCACAAGGTCAGTAAATACATGCAAGCCTAGGCTCACCCAGATTGACATCTGGACTCACCAATTCAGATTAATGAAAATAAATATTGTTTTATAAAACAATTCGTAATTTTAATTTTCACTAATTACACTGAATTACTCGAATTATGTATTAATAGTAATATTCAAAGCTTCCTCTCTTCGTTGACTGACATTACACTATCTCATGCCTATAAATGTGAGTTTCACACTGCTCGTATGCTCGTACAGTAGGTAGGACACAGCGGTGTGGCTGTAGGATTGTTGTGGTCACCATATTGTGAATATTGCAGCCTATTTAAGAAAATGTGTGGTAATGAGCTTCACTCAGTCCCATCCAAATTTAATTCAGGCCGACCCATCGGCTGATTTCTGTATCCACCACTGTTGCTGTCTAGTGTTTCTTAACCTCAAAAGGCTTTTTTTCTTGTGATATAGTAGTGAAAAGATTACTCAGATCTGATATGTGACATATCAGACCGTACTCTGTGGCACAGTAGGCCTCAAATAACTCTGTGCTGTCGCTTCTGAGCTGTGTGGTGTGGAGCTCAGCCAGCACGCAGAACTGTAAAGGTATTTTCTGCAGTGTCCATGTATCGACCACAGTCTGGTTATCGAAAGGTCATCCTCCAGCGTCACGGCCAAAAGCAGCCATTAATCGACCATCTCAGCTGACACAAGATATTTGCTTCCCTCTGGCAAGTACTTCTGACTCCCCTCACATGGACTTTTTTTATGACTGAAAATACTAATTAAAAACCTACATATGAAGAGATTTGCGTTCAGATTTTTGCACCTCCAAGAATGTGAGAATATAATCACTCTTAAAAAGAGCGATTATATTCAAAAAGAACTGTCTCATTTTTCCTGTTAGGTTATAAATTACACATGGAACTTACATGCACTACTGCAATAATAATTTTTAAATATTTTGCTGGAAAAACACCTAGATCACCCCAGAGGTTTAAACTTCAGTGGTTTCTCACTGTAGTTCTAAACATAAAGAATAAATCCTCTTTCTTTAGTAAATTACCTACCATATATATATATATATATATATATATATATATATATATATATATATATATACACACACACACACACACACACACACACACAGAGTCAAAGGCAGTTTAAGATGAAGTAGTAAAACAAGGAAATTAAAGTCAACTGGTTGCTACATTCAATAGTCTAATCAGATTTGCCTTTAAAATATGCTTTACAATATAATAATGAATGTGGAAAATTCAGCAGTATTATTTATGGGGCATTCAGTAGAAGGTTATAGTGTGGACAGGATTAAGCGCACAGGTAAGGGAGGTCATTTCCCATGCTCATTATTGCTTAGTTACAGCCGGCTGCCTCTTCAGGCTTAGACTCACTGTTGGGCCATGCTTAACCCATGTGGTAGCCTTATAGATACGAGCATCAATTAATCTACCCCTTCTTATGGGAATGCATCCACTGTTTCCTGGAAACAATGGGGACAAGCTAAAACTAAGTAGCCATTCTCTGAAATCGTAATTTATCAAGCTAAATGAAAAACCAGAGTAAACGACACCCCCACTTCTGCTGACATCATGAGTACACTGTCCCCAAGGTACACATAGCATTTAATTAATGGTACAATGGGACAAAATCTCCAATGGTACGAAAATGTTCCTCAGAGTCCATTTCTATACCTTACATTTAAAAAAAACACCAAGTACAATTACAATTATACCTTCAAATATAAATTGGAATTTTGTTTGACAATGTAGCAAATAGTAATCCGTATATATACCAATGCTCATTAGCACTCTTCAGAAGGTATTGTTTCTTTTTTTTTTAATAATTTGGGACACATTATGAAATGAAATGACAGTCCTGGGTGCAGTAGCCAAACATAAGCAAAAGCCTGCTTATCTCATGGACAATCAAATCAGAAAAATGATTACATTAGTGATTAAGGGATAAAGTGAATCATGTGGCTGCAGGGAATTGCTGCATACCAACTTAATTAGATCCTATATGGATTCTATAATGAACGATTTTATTTACCTCATTTATCAGACACTTTCATCCAAAGCGATATACAGCAGAGAGTTACAATTTAGGCAAGCGCCTGGACCATACAACCTTTTTGTTGGGGTCACAATTCTCTACTTGTTGAGCTACAGCACAAGAGATGGAGACAGAGAACAGCCTTATAGGATTTTTATATTATTGAAATAAATATATCAAATATCAAACATCTGAAATAGATTCCTTTCAAAAATCTTGTGCTAAAAATGTTTGTTCTGAACAGCAATAAACATTGAAACATCCCAATCTCTGCATTCAATTTTACCCTGATTCTCCTGGTTTGCACTGCGAAGCTGTATAGTTGAATAGCATGTCACATGCATTCACCAAAAACTGAAGCAATTGTGGTTCAGTTTGGCGACAGGGAATTGCTGAGAAAAGCTTGCAAATTCCAGGCTATGGTGCTGCAAAGTGAGCCGCTGTCCTGTGCTAAATTATGATGGGTTTCATAAATCGTAATAAAGAATTACATGACACAACATCATTTTGCTGAGAATGGGCCCTGATCAGTGACCTTACAAAATGCAGATCCAAGAGAGAGAAATCAAATAGACAGCTGCTGCTGCAGTGTTACACTTCGTGAAAAGCTTCTAGAACAAGAAGTTCCTAAATTCTCTGCTACTTGAAGTTTGTCACCCAAGGACTTCATGTCACTAGCAAAAAAGTGACATTTCTATGTGACTGTAAATAATTATTGTTCACTATTCCAGCATCTCCTCTACCACAGTTAAAATACAGACATTTAAAAAGCATATATCTCAGAAAAATGCTCTTATATTTGTGTATGTGTGTATGGGTGAGAGAGTGAGAATGACAGAGCAATAAAAGAGAGAATCAATTCTCACACAGCACTCCCTGATGTACTTTCAGTTTTCCTGGAAGAAATATGACTTGTCACCTAACTCTGCCATATTTTTTTTTTTGAAAAAGAAGGAATAAATCTTTTCCTAGGGTTACAAAGAGTTATATTTGATTTGATTTTTCTAAATTGCTGATCATTTTTACACATATTACTTAATTAAGGAAGTTTAAGGCTGAGGCCTCGAAGGACACTACAGCCATGATTAACACTTAATTCAAAATCAAACCGCCCTCTGATGTCAGCTTCAGTGCTCTGTGAGAGATCATTGTTATTGTTTTCCTGCTGTTTCCCAGCGTTTGGCTCCGTGCAGATTCTCACCAGGACACCGTGAATGGAAGAGCATTTCTCTGTATTTTGGCTGCCTCATTACCATGCTGTTTTTCATGCAAATTAAGCAATGATAGCATTTTTCTATTGGCTTTTGCTCTTAGCATCCTTGTAGAGTCCCATTCCTTCAAATACCACACAAATAGAGCAGATGTCTGCCTCTGAACGTCATAGGGTTAATAATACTTGAAAGCTATTTCTCACATATCAGCTGTTTACACAGGATTAACTGCACTGAGTATATGACAAACCGAGGCCATCATATACTCCTGAAAAAGGTGTGATTGTGTCCCCCATTATGGGGTGTAACTAGCTGGTACCCCAGACAAAATTGAACCTAAACCTGTACTGTGAGTCTCCAGACTGAAAAACAGGTTCCAGTGCCACGTGTCTCTCGCTGAAACGGTTTCTGAAGGCCTGTGTTTACCCTACATCTGTCTGCTAGTACATGATGCACACAATAACACGC